CCCCCCCCCCCCGTAAAATGGTTTAGTAATGCATATTTGATAAGAATTTTGCTGCTATACAGCAGTTGTTGTGAGGGCAGATATCACCCTTGGAACTGGAGAAGTAGAGTTTATTTCTCTCTGTTTGATGATCAGTAGTTAATGATGGAATGTTACTTAGCAGCTATCAAACTTGACTTTTTGTAAAACACCTGGATATTTTCAAAAGCAATTGAAAGCGATGATCAAATGGTAGGAATCAGGCATTATCTATAGGATTAATCAGTTTGGAGTAGAATAAAGTTTCAAGTTAAAAATCTGGTGTATTGTGAAATGTTACGAGGTGAATGAAAGCGAAATAACTGTGCTATTTATCTTAGTTGTATATGGAGACCATAAATGTGGCATTTTCTAGCAAATAGTGTTCCTGGAACAATTGAACAAATTATTTTCTCTCCTGCTTAATATATCAACTTGTTGGATCTAAACGTTGAGTACGATGCAACTGCAAAACACAGAATTCTCTTGAGGAGAAAATCAATAAATAAAGAACTGTCGAAAAGTACGGTTATCCATCTAGAAACATTTCGGCCACATTGATAGTATGGTTCTGTAAAGTGAAAATTTTAACATTTTTGTGAAATTAAAATACAGTTACAACAAAATGTCTGTAGCAGTTTTTTTCGATTTTATAGTTCGTTTTGATTTCAACAGATGAGCCCAGTAACAAAGATATAAATCGAGGTATTTTTTTGAAACACAATATTTCTGAATTTGACGATTCTGTTTTCACGGACAAAATTTTTATTTATTCTATAGCACCATAAATAGACATCAGCTTTTGTATCACTGCATAAATGCAGATAACGGATGAACAGTGGAAAATTTTTACAAACAACAATGTTAGAGGAAAGTTACTGAAAATTATGTATATTTATTATTAACTCCATTTTAAAAATGCCATTATTCGGTAATAGTACAGTTATAATACAGAACGATTAGACTTTTTTCAATGTTTGTAAATTTTAGTAATTACTACTAAATAAGCTTTAAATTAGCGTCCTGCTTGTTGTTTCATTAACTACGAATGAGTTGAGTGTTTGGTAGTTATTAGTTTAAAACAAATGAAGCGTTTTAGTCTTCAACAATAAATACTCCTTAAAAAGCGGCAAAAAATTTTGATTTAAAAAAATCCTAAAAATATTTGCCGGATGTTCAGTAGCATTAACGATTCATAATTAAGATTTAAATTAAATTTTTTAATCATTTATATTTTCTTTCTTTTTGTCAACAACATTTGGTAAATTTTCTTGTACTCAACGATAACAACAGCAAAAATAATCGAAATGTTTTAGTTTTCACATACTATTGATAAAGCTGTGAAGTTCACAATAATTGCTATGGAAAGCGTCAAGAGAAAAGAAAGTTGATTAGTAAAACAAAATTAGTAAGTCTCAGAAAAAAATTTTAAAAAAAAATATGACAACAAAAAGAACAATCTTCTTTACTTTTCATATGAGAGACATACGTAAAGTCAAAGTTACAAAGACATAAATGTCAGAAATATTCCACTGTCCATTTGAAAAGGAAAAAAAAGACAAAGGAGGAAATTTCTTTCAGCAATGATGCCCATTTATGTGAAATCTATATCTGCTAAAAAAACAGAAAAAGTTGATGCAGTAGAAATAAAAATATTTGGTTTATCTTGAGACCGTTAGTGTATATATACATATGGGAACTTTTTCTAATAAATATCACAGTAAACAATGTTTGATCTCTCAAAAATCGTATCGATTATCGTCTTCTTTTCCTTCGTTTGTTTAACAGAAG